ACACCCTCTCTTAGAACTAAGAAAAACAACTTCAAGGAGAACCTCAAATGAGAAACTAATTTTCTCTCTTAATTTTTTTTTCTCTAGCACTAAAGAAATAAAAAGAAAAGGAAGATATTTTGGTGTTTTTAACTAAGAAAACATTATACTCCTTTTATAACATGAAAAAACACCAAAATAAATTCTCCCCAATGCGAGACTTCACTTCTCACACAAGATAATAATAGAAAGGGTTAAGTATGTTTTTTGTCCCCGTACTTTCATGTGAAATTGGAAATAATGATCCATATACTTTTGAAATGATTGGAATAGGTCCCTATTTTAAACGACATTAAATATATGGTGATCTGTCTAACGAGAGATAGTATGACTCATTCATTATTTGACATGTGTAATTATTTAAAAAAAACAAAGCTCTTCTTTAAAAAAAATAGAAATTATTTAACAGAGATTATTATTTAAGAAAAACAAAAAAAACAAAATTAAAAAGTATAAGCTTTTCTTTTCTCCTCTCGCATTAAAGCTATTCAGTTCTCGTCACAACCACTTTTCATTCTCTCTTCTTTTCTCGTCACACACAAAAAGTCTTTTCTTTCTTCCTCTTTCTCTGTAAAGGTTGTATGAAGTCAAAGTGACTTTGAAGTTCGAGGGTTCCATCTGTTCGTTGTGGTTCGATTGGCAGTACGACGGTGGTGCACAACGACAGTGTGTGATGGTGGTATACTATAGTTAGGGTTTTCATTTCCGAAAATTAAGGTATGTTTTTTCATTTGCGAAACTAAATGTTTATTTTGTGTTCTAATGCATGCATTTGGGGGGTTTTGTTAAAATAATTTAGGGTTTTTCTCGTATATTATTTTAAATGACTTATAAATGGCGAGAGAAGTTTAAATTTCTTTTTAAATGGTTTTTAAATATCTTTTAAATGTTATAAATGCATATTTAAATTACTTTTAAAAGCTTGACACCTTTTAATTTTATTTAATTTTTTTTTAAATAATTACACGTGTCAAATAATGAATGAGTCATACCATTTACTGTTAGGCAAGTTAGCATATACTTAACACGGTTTAAACTAAGGACCTATTTTAATCATTTCAAAAATATAGGGATCATTTTGATGTGACTATGACATAGAGACTATTTTCAATTTCACATGAAAGTATAAGGACTAAAAACATACTTAACCTTAATAGAAAATTAAGAGCATGTTTTTGAAAATATTATAAGTGAAAATATCTTATATTTATATATGATTTATTATAATGCACGATAATGACATTATTGTGTGCCAAAAAAAGAAATCTTTTGAACAAAGATATTTACATGGTAATTTTTTTAATAAAAAAATTATTTATGATATAATACTTTATATAGCAAACCATAATAATATGACTTATGTATCAAAATTTTAATACATCATATTTTAAAACCATAAACTTTGTATGAGTGATTAAAAAAGGAGAAAAAAATATTTAAAATGTATTTTTGCAAACAGTGAATAATTTATAATTATTATTTGGGAATAGATAAAATATTAAAAATTAAAGAAAGAACAACAAAAACAAAATCATAGTAAGATTTAAATATCATTTCCTATTAATTTGAGTTTTATTTCCATTTGTAGTAGAAATATATTTTGTATGTATAACTTAATTTGGATGATCTTATAAGGTCAGATGTCATATAATTTTTTGTTTCAATATTAATAATTTGTATTATTAAAAACATTAACAATTTTATCACAACTAAGACGTATATCTTTTTTATTTTGTTTGACAATAAAGGTCTTGTTTTCAATTCTAATATTTGCATCTTAGTTTTGTTGTTGCTACGTATTTTGAAAGAGTATTAAAAACTGTTTTGAGATTGATTAGCAAAGGGAATTAATTTTGTTTAGATAAATCAAACTTCATTTTCTTGATTTGGTATCAAAGGATTTAAGTTCTAAGATAGTGTTACCGGTCAAGAACTAACTTAAAAAATTGTAAATTGAAAAAATGTAATTATTCTCAATTTTTTTAGAAAATTGAATTTTTTTTAAAAAAGATCAAAGCTCCTAAGTGGGTAGAAAAGAATTTTATCTTGTTCAATAATCAACGTCAAATATTCTTATAAAAATTGACTGTCTATAAGAGAACGAAATTATTAAGTAGAAGCTCCAACGTACGTGAGAGGGATGTCAATCTCCAAAAATTATTTAATGATCAAATTAATAATAATATAAATGATTATAAATATATAAGAATGAGAGTACGGGAATATCTCTATAGAAAATAAAATTATCATTCTTACAAGATTTTTTAAATAATAAATTATACTTTAATAATGTGAAAATTTTCCATTTATAACAAAATAATTAGATATATTATTTTATAGGTTATTATTGGATCAATATATGTTTTAACAACATTTATACCACGAAATTTCTTATTTATATAACGTATTTAGTGTTAAAATTGGGTAAATATATTTGTGTTTCTTTAAGTTTAAATGTTTGTTTGTTAGTCCAAGATACACTTTTCCATAAATACTTGACATTAACTGTTTACAAATATACATGTTAGGTGAGGTATAAATGATTTATTTAATGCATAATTAATAAATTGTGCACATCTTCATATTTTTATGTTATTTATAATATTTTAATTAATATAATAAATTGATTATTTGTTTGAATCAATTCTTAAGTACTGATCTATCCTAAACGTTCCTCTTGCATGGTTAATAAAAACACTAAATGATAAAAGTTTGAAAGAAATAATGAAAGAGAGAAAGAAAGAAAACCTCCATTTGCGTTATTACTCACCTTCATTATTACATATACCTCTCTATAGTGAAGCTTCTCCTCGAATTAGAATAGTTCTTGATTAGTTGTAAATCTCTTTTGTTTTTTATTTTTTTATTATTATAGTTCCTTGTCTGGGTTTAATTATTACTTAAAATATTTACAATAAACCAGGCTTAGTTTAATTTCACCCCAAATAACCCGCAACTTAATATTCAACAGTCATGCAAAATAAATTAATGTTATTACAAAACCATGTCCAGTCAAATTAATTGGACCAAAATGCTATTTACTTTAATTCTATTAATCCAACTTGCGTTTAGTTAATCAAACTTAAATGTATTCTCTCAACTTAATCTATGTGACATCCCATTAAAGTTTAAACGAGTGAACCTTTGCGTGTGGCCTGCAGCCACATACACCAAATCAAAGGTGCAGTATTTTTATCATAATTTTTCAAGAATAACTTTAAACTTTATAACCTTCTCTAGTGGTCATTTGCATTTAACAAATAATAGGACCTATGATCAATGAATTTGATAAAATATGTTTTATGTATTAATTTTTTGTTCTCATTTAATGTTGTTATTAATAATTACATAACATTATTTATTTTAATTACAAAGAAAAAAATTAAATCATTTTTTAATTTTTATTCTGATTTTCATTAGCATTTATATATTATTTTTTATTTAGAATAAAATTATTAAAGAAATGATTTCTTAAATTATATTTTAAAAAAACTAAATCAATTCATCTTAAGTTGATAAATTGCAATTTTAGTAGTTTGGACTTTGCAATTGGATTACCACTAATTATAAGTCAACTGTCAAGGGTGAAACCGTAATTTCAACAACCCGCAGGAAACAATCACCAAGTAGATGCTAACTTTAATTATTAAACTTTTTTTCAATTTTATAATCCCCAATGGTGATTATTAATTAATCAAACCCCTTTTGTAATTTATAATAATTAATAAAATAATATTAATTTTATAGCAGTAGTAGTCTCTTTCTTGTTGGGATTTAATAAATGCAGTGAGTGAGAGCGTGTCTTTCGGAGTCAGAGGTTGTGTCCCAGACACGGAAAAGGAAAGAGAAAGGAAACCTTACTTCATGAACTTCATAGTGAGTTTCTTCTTCTTTTTCTACGATCGTATTTCTTTTTTTCTTGAATGGTATATTTCTAGTCTTTTTGTTATTGATTCTTCTTCTTAGATATTGAAGTCCTCGTTGTTTACTTTTTTTTTTTTTTTTCTTTTAAACGGTGATTGGAGTGTTGACCCAGAATTCTTCTTGGTCTAATGAACGGTTTTCTCAAGTTTGTTCTTCTGGGTTCTCTTATTAGCTTTTGAAAGTTTCCATTTTTCTTTTTCTAGTCTTGAGTTTTTGTAGACTTCTCATTTGGGTCTAATTTGGTGTCCTTTTTGAGGTTTTTCTTTGACTTATCTGTTCTGTAATTTGTAGTATATGAATTAATATTTTTGATTTGTTTTCTGGTTGTTTATTATTATTATTATACTGATCTCTTGTTATTAGGGTGGGCAGAAGGCCTTATTTCTCACCGAGTTTGGCATTTGAGGTTTGGTATGTGAATTACTATCTTATGTCTTGTTTTCTGCCTTGTGTGAGTGTGATTGTGTTTGCAACTGTGCTTGTGAGACATTCTTAGAGGTTCAGCAAATTTCATGTATACATGTGCTCGGCTCATTAGTTAATGACTACTGATGCTCTAGTTTTACTCCTGACTTTATTTTTATTTTTCTCCCTTTGTGATATAAACGTAGGTTTGGTGATACAATCAAACATGTTTGTAATATTCTGTTCTGACTAGAGTTTGTTGGTCTCTTAAGAAGTTAGATTTAGGGGTTCAACTGATGGAGATAATGTTTTAAAATATGATTCTGACAAAAGTCTGAAATTTTAGGACGCTTTAATCTTTAGGTTCATGTGAGGCTTTCTTTTATGAGAATCTCTCTTTTGTTTTCATTTTTCCTTTTCCCTCTTTGTGCTTTTCCCTATCCATGTTCTGTTACTTTTATTTCTTAATAACTAACCATTGAAGCTGGATTTAAATTAAAGTTTTGTTGATTTGCAGCTCTTGGCTCTTCTAATTGTGAATTGTGACATCTGAATAGAGTGGATTAGTGGAACCTTATCAATTAAGCGGTGTTAGTAGATAAAATTCTTGTGCTGTTAGTGTATTGTAGCAAATGTCCTTCCGCAGTATTGTTCGCGACGTGAGGGACAGTATTGGAAGCTTATCAAGGCGGAGTTTTGACTTAAGGCTTCCTGGTGGTAGCAAGTCGAATGGTTCGGTCCATGAGGTGCATGAACGCCCCACTGTCATACAGAACAGCCGGTGGGCTAGCCTTCCGCCTGAGCTTCTTCGTGATGTTATTAGAAGATTGGAAGAAAGTGAGACAACATGGCCTGCTCGGAAGCATGTGGTTGCATGTGCCGCTGTGTGCAAGTCCTGGAGAGAAATGTGCAAAGAAATTGTTACCAGTCCTGAGTTCTGTGGGAAGATTACTTTCCCGGTCTCCCTGAAGCAGGTGAGACTTTTGTTATCTTCTATCCTATGTTCAAGATATATTTTGAAGAACTGGTTCATCCATGATAAGTATGGGTTTTTGTAAGAGTGCTTGACCATATTTTTCTTTTTTATATTCTGTTGACTCTTGTTTTACAGCCTGGTTCGAGGGATGGAACAATCCAGTGTTTCATCAAGAGAGACAAATCTAATCTGACTTACCACCTATTTCTTTGTCTGATTAGTCCTGGTAAGCTCAGTTTTTACTTTTGAAACCCATACATATAGTTTGTCTCCTCTTTTTATTGATTTGAATTTATATATTATGTAATTTATTAGATTATGACATTTAATGTATGATCTGTTTTTCTTATTTCCATAATGACCGAACCTTATTTATCATTCACTGTGGAAGTTATTGTGTTCCTGGATTTGTAATTTGGCTTGATAGCAAATGATTTATCTTATGCTTGTAAAATTTATTTTTGTTCAAGATTTCTGGACCTACCAAATCTGGTTCTGTCGAAGTTTGGTTCATCCTGCAAAACTTGATGACGGATCTTTCTAGAGTACAGGATCACTGGATTATTAGTTTAATAATCTAAACGTTGGTGACCACCAAATCTACTAAAATATATGATTTTGTTCCCACCACAAACTAGATCTTGCTAAGCATTTCCTTGTCATAGTGGCAATTGTTTATTCCATTTCATCACAACTCAATTCGTGTTTGTACAAAATTTAGCTACCTAAATATTGTTGTCTACACTTAACAATAGCCAAGTTCTTTATCATTGCCTTCTTCTGTATTTATTGTGTTCGTGTATTTACACTTGGGAGTTGACCAATTAAACTAGTTTTATTTCTGACCTTTAGTATATTGATTTATTAATATATTTGCTATGATGGTTACTAAAAAATGGCATATTTCCATAGTTGAATGGACAAATTACATGGCTCTTCCTATACTTCTGTAGCCTATAAATGGACAGTGAGAAGTTTCTTGGACTTGGTTGTCATTTTCTCTGGGATATGCTTTGAATTCTTAACTCTTCTTGCAGCACTGCTAGTTGAAAATGGAAAGTTTCTTCTTTCTGCGAAACGGACCAGAAGAACTACCTGCACAGAGTATATTATATCAATGGATGCAGACAACATATCAAGATCCAGTAGCACATACATTGGGAAACTGAGGTATGTTCTTTTGGCATTCTAAATTTTCGCAGCATGCATTTTGTGTCACAAATCATGGAATTTTACTAATACCTGTTTTCTGAAAAAGTTAGTTCCTATGTGTTATAATATGATCATTGGTATTGCTGATGATTAAATTTAGTACATTCCAAAGAGCTTTCAACTCTCTGGTATTGAATATCTATTGATGAGCATGTCCTACCCTCCTCCCCCTCCCTTATGTTTCCACATTAATAGTTCTTCAATGATTGCTTGGTATTTTGATATATATTTTAATTTATCCAATTGTGGTATGTCTGCCTCTCCTGTGATGCCAAAACATACATGCTCCGACAATTGGTCTTAATTGGAATTGTGTTTGCCAAACATCAATTTGAGTACAAATTACAAGAACCAAGTAGCAACACTAAACTTTAGCAAGAGTTTGGTATGACAAGTTTACATATTATCTAACTATGGCGTATTGCGCCTCAACATTTATAATCTATACTTACTGTTACTGAAAACTTCCCTTCTTCAATTGGCACATTGAAAAATGCAAACATCTTTCATGGTTGAAACTTTTGATGCCAAGTTTGTATGTATTGATGCACTTCTGTTTTCTTCTTTTTTCCATGTCATATGTCTAATGTATGTTCTTCCTTTAATTTTGAAATGATGATTATAATTTTCTTCCATTTATTTTGATTTTTACGTTTCGGGATTTGTTTATGGTTTGCAATTTCTAAGACCGTTATTTCCTCAGACTAATGTTGAAGAAACAATATGAGCTTATACTGTGTCAATTTCCTTCATTTCAGGTCCAATTTTCTTGGCACCAAGTTTATAATTTATGATACACAGCCTCCCTACAACAATTCTCAGCTGTCTCCTCCAGGTCGAAGCCGAAGGTTTAATTCCAAAAAGGTTTCTCCAAAGGTCCCTAGTGGCAGCTATAATATTGCCCAGATCACCTATGAGTTGAATGTCCTTGGTACTAGGGGCCCACGTAGGATGAACTGCACCATGCAGTCAATCCCTATATCCGCCCTTGAGCCTGGTGGCACTGTGCCCGGCCAGCCGGAGCTCCTTCCCCGCCCCCTTGAAGATTCTTTCCGGAGCATATCCCTTGGTAGATCAGTTTACAACTCAACTGAGTTTAGCAGTTCTAGGTTCTCAGACATAGTCGTGGCAGGCAATGAAGAGGAGCACGAAAAGGACAGGCCTCTGGTCCTTAAAAACAAAGCTCCAAGATGGCATGAGCAGCTGCAGTGTTGGTGCCTCAACTTTAGGGGAAGGGTGACTGTTGCATCTGTCAAGAATTTCCAGCTCATAGCTGCAACGCAGCCGCCTGCTGCTGCTGCTCCTCCGCCGCAGCCAGCTCAGTCTGATCATGACAAGATTATTCTTCAGTTTGGCAAGGTTGGCAAGGACATCTTTACTATGGACTATAGATATCCCCTCTCTGCATTCCAGGCTTTTGCCATTTGCTTGACTAGCTTTGACACAAAACTGGCTTGTGAATAGTGACAATGATGTAAGGTACAAAGATAGATAAGATAATAGGATTCTATCTCCATTTATGTATACACTGTGTGGTGAAGCTGCATCGAGTCATAGTACACCATATAGTTTAACTGTAAAGGACAGAACAACCTGTGCTCATTGTAACTTTTTCTTATATGTATTTCCTTTTCTTTTCCCTTCTAACGTTAGTCTGCAACAAACTATCTCAAACATGTGTTGCTTCCCTGCAGTGTTTTGCTACTTCCATTAGTACTTTTGGTACTTCATTAGCTTTACTCGTGAATATAAATTTTAGTCATTGAAAAGTATACAATGCAGCTGCTATTTACAAATTCATAATGTGCATGGTCAAAAATTGGAATAGATAATTCAAATTATTATTCATCGAGTAGCTACATATGCAAATTGGGGTGGAAGATCTGAGTGAATCAAAGTTGGATTGTAATAGATTACGAAATTTATTAACATCTACTGATACTTCACCATTTTCTCTCTCTAGAACTGGAATCCAATCTCTACAGAATCTCAATTAGACCCTTCTTTATATATTGCATACATTAAAAATTATGATCATTGAAAATCCTCAAACTATCGCTTTTATAAATGAACAGATTAGATTAGGTATATCCACACCACTTGAGCGTCGACCATAAAAGATCTTTTACACAATGATTGTGATTTTAATTTCTGGTCACCCTCTCCCTCCTTAGATACGCAGAAGATGAGTGTTGGTAACAATTTTAAACACTCTATTTCTAACATTGTTTTATTATTATTTAAAATTTATTAAAAATTATAATTTTGATGAACTTTATTTTTCAAGAGACCCGCTATCACCAAAATCTATATTTTCTATAAATTCCGGTATATAATAAAGGTTATATATTAAAGAAGACTCTTTCTTCTTTATGTACCTTTATAATTTTCTCATGTATCTTCATAAAATGACTAAAATATTCTTTTATTAATTTTTGTTTGAAATCCTACAAAAAAATTTCACTCTTGTTGTTCCTTTACATCTCTATATCTCTTTTGTACCTTTGTAATTCTTGCATCTTTGTTTTGTTATTCTTCCATCTCCATTGAAGATCACTTTTCAGCCCATGAAGTTAGAAGTTGTTGTTTTGTATTTATTATAAAATACCCATCCCAATATCCATGAAAACTAGATTAAAAATGTATATAAGAATTTAGACTTCTCAATTGTTAAGTGACAAAAATTGATGTAATTATGCTTTGAATTGTTATTTAACCACTTAAATTATATTAAATCTAATCTATTATTCTTCTAATGTAGAATGAATTTGCAGAATAACTGAGTACAAGAGCAATGATCATAATTCTCAATTTAATTGGAAAAAAATTGGAAAAAGGGAAAAAGATTTTTAACATAAGATTCGCTCGAGCGAGACGGACGCTTGTTTGAGCGAAAATATGTTAAAACTCTCTAGAAGTCATTCGCTCGAGCGAGACAGACGCTTGCTTGAGCGAAAATACGTTAAAGCTCTCGGGAATTCAATCGTTCAAGTAAACAATTCTCGTTTGAGCGAAAATCACCATTACTCGCTTGAGCAAAAGTTCTACTTGAGCGAATAATGCGAGATTTTTCTATAAAAAGATAAGATGCATTTTGAGAAAGGGAGTTTTTGGTTTTTGAGAAGAAAGGCGCAACAGCTGATCGATTTTTCGTCCAATCTTCAATTCTTCTTCATTTAGATAATTGTAATGGTCATCATGAGTAGCTAACTTCATTCTCTTAGGATTTAGTGCACTTCCTTTGAACTCTTTTATATCTTGATGATATTTTGAGATATTAATCTACATTCTTGATGTTGTTATTTTTATCCTTTTTGTTTGTTAATGCTTTTATTCTGGATGTTCATATATATTGGAAAATATATCTTGAAACCCTTGATTAGGTTAAGAATATTTGATATGTTGATTGCTAGGAATGGTAATGGAAGTTTCAATTGTTTAACACCGTAAACCTAATGCTGAAAAATCTAGTAGATGTACGAGGAATCTATGTTTACAAGGTTTTCTTATGAATTTCATGTTTGAGAAATAAATATGAATGATTTGAGTAGGTGGCATCAACATTGATAGGTTAATTGATGTTATTAATTTGACCTAGCCATTATACAAAGGAGAGAAAATGAAGTAAATCAATCCTAAGTTCTCATAATTCATCTTTTCTAAATACATTTTATAGCTTTTTACTGTTGTTTTCAATTCAAAAGTTTATGAAAAACTCATTTTATGTTAATACACTTAGTAAGCATATGATTTGAAATTTCTAATGATACTGTTCTTCATAGGATCGACTTTTATTTAATTGAAATATTGTATTGCGATTGATAATATTGGTACGCTTGCCAAAAAACCAACATCAATCTAGAATACATTTCTGGATCTGAAAGTGAGTTCCATAACAACTAATCTGTAATACATTTTCAGAACACTCAATCTAAAAATGCATTATAGATTAATTGTTCTAAAACTCATTTTTGGATTAGATGTTCAAAAAATGAGTTCCAGAAATGTATTTTGGAACCATCAAACTAGAATGCATTTTCAGAACACTCAATCCAAAAATGCATTTTGGATTTATTGTTCAAAAACACTCAATCCAAAAATGCATTATAGATTAATTGTTCCAAGACATATTTCCACATTAGTTGTTCCAAAAATGCATTTTGAATGGTTTGTTCTGGAAATAAGTTCCAACATAGCCAATTTGGAACATATTTCTATACCAGCCAGCCTAGAATGTATTTTCGGAACATCTAATATAAAAGAAGATAGATATAAGGATAAAATGAGATTTTATGTTCTTACCAGATTGGTGGAGGTCAATAAGAGGGGGTGTGCGAATGGACTCAAGAGATTTGTAGATCAATTTTGGATTGCAACTTCAAGATGATTGGATGTAACTTCCTTTGAAAATAGTAGACACTCACATGCAAAATACACTTTTAGACAAGAGAGTAATATGTGTTGAGAATAAGTGAAAATGTGAGATTTACTATCTAACTGAATATCTTTATATAGGACTCAAAATATAATAATAACTGAAAAGATAATAATTGATAGTCAGATAATTGATATAAGATAATTAAATAAATAAAGTGATTTAATGAATTTAGGCCGATTGATATAATTTTAATTATGGGTATACAAGAAAAAATTATAAGAGTACAAGAAGAAACAACTTAAAAAAGTGTATAAAAAAGCATTATCCACATTTTTAAAAAACAAAATATGTTGGGAACAAAGAAAACAAAAGTGAAACTAGTCACTCTATTTTATCGTAGGATACCATAATAGGTTTAGTCCAATGGGCTGACTCAAGAAATATATTAGATTAGACAAAATAAATTGTGGTCTAAATTGAATTAGATTTATTTTGTTTCAACCTATTTAGGTTATGACTTACATAAGCTTAGATTAGACTCGTCTCGTAAACTTATGGATTGACTCGTTTTATAAAATAATAATTATTTTTAAAATAAAATAAAAATAAAAATAATATTATTTAATAAAAAAATATATAAATTTTAGAATAAATCTCTAATAACCACTTATTTTAATTTATTGATTAAGATTAATTATTATTTTAAATTAATAATTTATTAAATAATAATAATAATAATAATAATAATAATAATAATAATAATAATAATAATAATAATAATAATAATAATAATAATAATAATAATAATAATAATAATAATAATAAGTGTAGCGTAGTGACCCTGAAGGTAGTGCCATTTTGAGAATCCTTGAACCATGTCACGTGGTCATGGTTAGATAAATGTTAATAAGGTTAAAGAAAAAGGTAATGTTATTCTATTTCCACAAAAACCCTGCGGAATACAAAACTTATCACTCGCCCTGAGCTTGGGGGAAAATCTACTTTAGGGACCCTCGAGATAGTCCCATCTTGGGAATGCCTCCACCATGTCACCTAGCCATGATTAGATAAATGCAAGTAAGGTTAAAGAAAAAAATAATATTATTCCATTTCCATAAAAAACCTACAGAATACAAAACTCATCCTTAACTTGATCGTTAGTGTATTTTTGCAAGTACTCCTCATTTGACACAAGAATCTATCAACCCAAGCATCCAAAGTAAACTGACCAAAAAGATCACACAACGAGAGATAAAAGGGAAGATAAGCGTTCGACCATGCAAAGACAAAAAATAAGTTTTTAATTCTTATTTTAAAATTAAATAGATGTATTTTTTTATAATTTATATATTAAATTATCATATCTTAAATAAAGATTAATTTTATTAATAAAATTTAAATATTAAAAATATATTTTTATTTAAATTTTTTTTAATTAATTGATTTAGTATAAATATATTATTTTTTTAATTTTAATAAAATTAAAATTGATATGTTGGTTTATCGACCTAACATGGATTAATTAAACTAAAAAATTTGACCTATTTAAAAATATAAATCAAACTTAGTTATCAAAATTATTTGACGGTTTTATTTTACTGACTAAATAAAAATTTAAAATTTAAAATATTTTTAAAATTAATACATTTAACTCAACGGCCCAAAAATTTATATAATTAATATTTATATAAAATGAAAATTAAAATGTCAATAATACTGTTTATTCCAATTATCTTAATTTATACATTTATTGATTATTTTGTCGGATAATAAATAATTTTAAATTAAAATCTCGTTTAATATTCTTATTCATTATCTGATTAATTACATTGCGGAACAGTAATATTTGAATAATTAGCTGAATTCTTCTCTTCCATTTCGCGGTCTCCTTATATGTATAAAGAAAGAAAAGCTTGATTTTATTTCTAATATATAGTCTATGTTGAAAAAAAGATAATTACAAATTCTAATTTATTTATCAAGTTAATGAAAGTGCATACGATTAGGTAAATATAAATTTTACTTTTTATTATTCTCCAATATCAAGAGTCAATTATGAAAAATATAACTAATGTTATAATTTATA